GTGACACTATCTCCTTCTTCAAGGGAAACTTCGTCATACAAAATTCTCGTGCGGGATCTTCTTGTAGACGGGGAAATAGTCCATATGGGGTGTTGGGTTTGTGAGGGGAATTTCGCGTGGGACAAAATTGTATACGGGAAAAATACCGTACGGGAGAATCAAACAGGGGGTTTTCTGACACGGGAATTCCCACAAGGGAATACTACCGTTATGGTTTTGTTGGTTTTTTATGGAAACAAAATTGTAGTACAATTCTGTGCCGTACAGGATTATATAAGCAGGTACATGTATAAGAATATCAGTTTGAAGCAGTGAGAACGAAATCAAACTTAAACCATTAAACATTCTTCAAAGTGCGCAATCAACACATCTTTTATACTTGCTATGTTCAGAAAGGGAGTTCAGAAACATCGAAAAGAAAATAAAACGGCCAACGAGTCCCGGAAAGAGTGGGCTCGTCGAGTTCTTGAAGATTTCGAACATTTCGGCGTTATAGCGGCAGAAGCGTGTTCGTTTTGTAAGCGGGGCGGTCATTCGTGTGAGATGATGGAGGGCTTTAAAAGTTGTTCCATATGCGTCAAGCATAGGAAGGGAAAATGCAATGCGATTCCATGTGAGTGTTTTTGTCGTAGATCCTTCTACGGGTGCGTGCTGATATATTTGCCAGTGGCACGGATTTCTGAGGTGAGAGTTTCGAAAACTCAACAGCTTCATGAAATCATGGGAAGGCTCGAAAATATCCAGCAAACAGTCCAAGATGATCAAAACAAATTGGCGGAAAGTCAAAATAAGTTATCGGTGTCTCTTGCCGAGTTCCACAAGGCGGCGGCGGAGTTGAAGCGTTGTCAACAAGAGTTGTCCATTATTACTGAGAAGCATCGTGAGAGCTTAGCGCATGCAGAAGCTTTACTCATGGAAGAGGATCCATTAGAGGAGGTTGATGGGGGGGATCCAGGTATACAAGAACAATTGAATTATCTCAGGGGCGACGTGTGGGATTTAGGTCCTGAGTGGGTAGATAATGGGGAGGCGATTCCGGAGGAGGTCCTGGGGGCTGCCATGGAACCTTTGAGTTATTTCGCGGGTTCTGTGGACATAGGGAATCCTTTCGCGTTCTTTCGAAGGGGGGAAGAGTTTTCGATGGAAAATTTTATGGAGGGTATTTATGGGGATGTTCAAAACAATCTTGCTTGATTCCTTCTTGTATTCGTAACTCTTTTCAATTTCAAACAAAATGCCTTGTCGAGAGTTTCTTCTTGCGTTCGCGGAGTCTCTGACTCCTAATATCGTTTCTTTGTCTGGGGGAATTCGTTCGTTGCGTGCCTTTCTGTTGGCGTGGCCTGCTCAACGAGAAGTTCTAGGTGAGCTTCTTCGACGCTGGGAGGCTAGGGAGGCTGATTTAGACTGGTTGCACCAGTGGTGCATAAGGGGGTGTATTTGTGGTGAGGGGTGCCGTTAGGTGTGTGCAAGCCATGAATGTTATTGTGATTTTCGCTTCTTGCTAATCGGCATTCTTCCTAGGTCGTCCACGTCTTTTCTTTGGCGCTGCGTTGCCCTGCTGAGCGAGCATCCCGGGTTGCCTTAGATAGGACTGGATGAGTTCTGGGGAGATGTTTTCCTCTGGCTGCCAGGAGTCGTCTTCTGGGCCATAGGGTAGAGACCATCGAACAAGATACTCGTTATTCTCATTAGGTCCTTCGAGGATCTTTTCGACGTCGTATTCGGTGTAATCGTCGTATTCGATTTCCATGTCTTCTGGGTCTTCCCGTAGTCCAGGTGGAGCGGGTTCCAAGAGAGAAACATGAAATGTGCGATGAATTCGTGAGGGTCCAGGTATGTCCAATTCGTATTGGTGTTTACCCAATTGTTTTTTGATTGTGTAGGGGCCGTATTTCTGAAAATCAAGTTTTTTAGGGCGCTTGGTTTTCAAATTTCGCGCAAGCAGATATGCTTTATCTCCTTCTTTTAATAAAGGAGCTTCTAGATGCTTTTTATCATAGTAATGAGCCATTCGTTCTTGAGAGAATTGAAGGTCTTTCCTAAGGATACTATGAAGATTCTTCATTTTTTCCATATGTTCTTCAGCATCAGGCACGACTTCTTTTGGTCGGAGGGGAGGTAAAAAGGCTTTTGGAGTCCATCCACGCAAGACTTCGTATGGCGATAACTTCGTGGTTGAGTGTTGAGAGGTGTTGTATGCAAATTCGGCAGAGGGGAGGAGAGATATCCAATTTGTCTGCGCATAATTCACAAAACATCGGAGATATATTTCGAGGGTCTGAATCAGACGTTCTGAAGCACCATCCGTCTGAGGATGTGCCTTAGAAGCAATATTCAGTTTGGTGCCAGTCTGGTTCATGACTGATTGCCAATACTTGCTCTGAAAGAGTCGATCTCGGTCGCAGATGTGTTTGTGTTGGATTCCGTATTTGGAAAAGACATGTTGGAGGTAGACATGTTGGAATTCGGTTGTTCCGAACTTTTCATGCCATGGTATGAAGATAGCGGTTTTCGAGAATTTGCAGGTGATAACTAGGATTTCGTTGAAGATGAAATTGGTAAGTGGGTCTCGTGAGGGTTGCATTCCTTGAATAAAGTCATAGGTAATAACTTCAAAAGGTGCACAGGGTACGTCGTGGGGTTGGAGAGTTCCGTAGGGCTTATGTCGATTGGGCTTATTTCGACAGCACATGTCGCAAGTTTTGATGTATTCTTCGATATGTTTTCTCATGTTAGGCCAGTAATACGATTTCGTCAGGAGTTCCTGAGTACGATCTACTCCTAAGTGGCCATGAGCGGGGGAGTCGTGGTGTTGAGAGATGATTTCTGTTTGGAGTTTCTTCGAGGGAATGTAGAAAGCGTCACGAAATAGAATGATTCCATCGTGAAGTTCAAAAT